TCCCCCCCCCCCCCCCTTCTTCAACTACTTTTGATAAGCAGGGTATTGTCTTTTTCCTCTATTTTGCAGTTGGAGGTGCCCAAATGAATACCACTCCCAGATCAAATGCTGCTAGGAATATTTGGGAACCCCCTCTTGGTGGTTTGGATGACTTACCAGATTTGCAGCGAATGCTAGGTGGCATGCCTGATGCCTCTTCTGAAAATCAGTTAATGGAGTACCCAGCCATCTCTCAGATAATGCAGCACATGAACGAGGTATTTATTTATTTGTTTGGACTAAAGTTTACATACAGTCAGCGAGTTTAAGGTTTTATTCTTCTTTCTCGTGGTTTTTTGTTTGTGATGGAAAATTTCTTGTCAAGCTTCTCATTTCTTGAGTATCTTGGTGGTTAGATTATGGGGCTCGACCCCAACTCTCATCCCAGGGATATGATGCCAAATCCTGAATTTATTCGTCAGTTGACGTCCTCTGAGAGGATGCAGGTAAAGAATTTTTGCATGCTGTCTTTATGTTTTGCTTGTTGGAATTGTAGAATGTGTAAGTGGTGCATGCAGTGTGGCAAATCTAGAAAATCGGCTTTCATTCTTTTTTTGATACATATAGGTTAATGATAACTTAGAACTCAAAAAGGTAAAAGTTATGTTAGAAATATGTTTAGAGCCTGTTTGGATTGGCTTTGGGCTTTTAGCTTATAAGCCAAAAGTCATACTGTTTTTGCCACACTGCATGCACCACTTAAAAGCACTTTTTTGTTTTACATAAATACTACAAAAGTGCTTAAAAAAATATTTTGGCTAAGTCAATCCAAACGGGCACTTAGTAGATTTATCGCAAACTTACACCTAGAGGTAAATAAGTTAAATTACAACTCAAAAAGGTAAAAGTACTACTCCTTCCGTTTTCAATTTATTTGTCTGGTTTTGACTTGGCATGAAGTTGTAGAAAGTAAATAAGACTTTTGAATCTTGTGGTCTTAAACTAAAGATAGTTAGAATTCCATAACACCCTTTAACCTTGTGGTCTTGAACATGTGGAAAGTTAGAATTGAAGAGTTGTCATAAAATGAAAAAGACTTTTTTAAAATAGACTAAGAAAGAAAGTAGGACAAACAAATTGAAATGGAGGGAGTATCAGAAATATGCTTAGTAGAATTGGTGCAGAAAGAGATAAGAAGGAAACACAAGACACAAGAATTACATCTCTGGAAGCCTATATATTTGCCTTGAGCTTTTGCAGATTGATCAGATTGTTTTAGAGAGATTGTCAAAGATACACCAAGAGGTCACAGGCTTATCAATTGAGTTTATAAATGTAGTGTCTCTATGTGTTGAAAATGTAGATGTAGTCTTAGTGTAACCATTCTCATCTAGTGGTCGTACTGATTACTGATAAGGCACTAAATATTAATGTTGGGCATATAGAAGGAAAAAGAATAAAAACATTTACTATGAAAAACAAGGGGAAAATAGCAACAGAAAAATTCAAACAAAAAAAATCTTGTCTATTTGTTATTCGTTTCTCTTATTGGACATCCTTGAACTACTTTCAACCCTTGCTATTACTCATTTAGATTCTTTTTCTTACTAATCTAAATAAGCTAAGCTCTGACGATGTTAATTTATCAAAAATAAACTTTACAGATTTTAGTGTCAAGTATGACATGATAGACACTGTCCTTCAGATTTTATTATTTCAATACAGAAATATACTTCAGATTTTATTATTTATGTTTCTACAGACTTTATTGTTCATTTAAACTGTTTTACATTGTCATTTCATTAAATATTAGAATATTAATATGTGTATTTATTTCTCTTGAACACGATGTATGTTTTTTTGTCATATTACTGGTAAGTGTCACTGATTCATCAAACATGTTTTCTGGGCACAATATAAGACATTCTGGATTGAACATTTTTCATCTTTATAATTTAAAAGTCATTATCTTGCCCATTTGGAGGTACCATAAAGAGAATCCTATTGATATGTGTCTGGACATTATTTTTTTTATTAAAAGAGATTGCATTTTATTCATCTTCAACAAAAAGACACTTGATTTTATTCATGTGTCTGGACATGGAGCATGATGTGTGCATAATTCTTTGGGTATATTCTTCCGTCGTTCCTTTTTTTTTAAAAAAAAAAATCCTTATTCTGACTTTTTTGACAATCATTCTTTTTCCTTTTAGGAATATCTGGTACAACAAGGGCTATTTCCTCACCTTGATCGGCCGCAATCAAACCAGTAAGTCTGGACATATATTTATGGATTTTCCTTGGCTGGAAAATCTCACACCTCCTGATTCAGCTGATATGATGATGTGCATCTCTTTGTCTCATTATTACTCATCGTTTTCTTGTCCTACACTCACCAAAGAAAAAGAAATATTACTTGCATTCATATTTCACTTGCCAAAGAGTAGTCTAAGCCTTTCTAATTAGGTGGGATAAAAGATAAACTTGTGAGTGGCTCGAGATTTTTCCTCTGATTATTTGGATCAATGGGGTAATTTTCTGCCTTGCGTCTATCACTTCTGACAAAGTATTTTTTCCGCATGCAGAGAACAAGAACCGGAAGCTGTCCGAACAGGTGATATTTTATTCTCTATATTTCCCAATTTGATATCCTTATAACTGTAAATATACCCTTAGGTTTGGAGGGAATGGTCTCTTGATTTAGGTGCAAATAAATCTTCTTACATTATTTTCCAAACGTTGCTTAAGTCTAGTATTTTAATGCAAAACTGGCATATTAGGAACAATACACTTTATATTTTTGTGATGCACATTATTTGTGATGTTTTCATGAATGGACATTCATTTTTGTTTAGTCAACTGAGGAACCTACTTCTTTGTTTTGTTATATTGCGTATGAAATTTGAGATTTTACAAGGGCGACAGAACTGATTTGGATTTATACCTGTTAGATCTGTAATGGAGTTTATTTTTTTGTTAAAAATATTGATTGAAATTTATAGGTTGAGAATGAGGGTTTGGTGGGGATTTAGAAGACACAAATTCAGATAAAATATATAAATGTCACAAATGAACTGTACAAAAGAATGATATTAGTATGAAAATAACGAAATGAGATACAAATTTGTATCCGGAAAAGGTGGTTTATTGTGGGGATCTGTATATACTATTTTACACTTGTGAATAAGCTAAAGAAAGGTTCCATGATGAATGCTTATTTTAGATGACACTCTTAATTGGTGAAATTAGCGAGAAAGTCAACTGAAGTTGGAACTATGAAGAAGAACTCTGGTTTTAGCCTTTTAGGTTAATTAGAAATAAAACAAACTACCTATAAAAACTATAAATAAGACAAACTATATTCACTGCAAGTTATAATAAGATCAGTCGAATGAGACTAGATGAGATAGTGGTGCCAAAATGTAGAGAGTTGAAATATTTACTCTCATATTTGAGGAGAATGATATGATAGATGAAGATGTGACACAAGCTAAAAGAGGATTGTGGAAATGGAGGAGTGCTAAGACAGTTATGTTATACGTGAACGCCTAACAAAGTGAAACACAAGTTGTATGCAACGCCTGCGAGATCAAAGATGTTATATGGGAGTGAATGCGAGTAATGTAAATCCATGTGTATCCACAAGATAAACTTCATAAAAACTGCGGGGATATTTAGTTATACGAGGTCATTAAGATTAGAATTATCACATCTGACCAAACAAAAAATGATAAGATGAGAGTCTGGCTTTCTATCTCCTATGTAGACCTCCACATGCATTGGTCAGTATGTGTGAAAACATGATGATTGAAGGTGATAAAAGAAGACAGGGATAGAAAGTTGTATTAGAGAGACTTGCAGATGTCGAAGTTAATATGAATTTATTGTTAGCTCATAATAAAATAGAAGCAAAGAAATCCATACATGAGTTGGTCTTTTATCAGGTCAAGTGTTTGGTAGGAATCTCTTTTTTGTTGTTAGATACTCGTTTGTTCGAATAAGATGGGTGCGACTTACGGGATTTAGGGAAAGTCTAGTTCTAGGGAAAAATATCTTTAGTGTTTATTTTTTAGAGTAGGGAATCTATATGTTCATTAAACGATAAATTATTTAGTACTGGAATAAATGAACTTAAATAGAACAAATTCAATCCATGTGAACTGATTTGAGATTCAGGTATAGTTGATTGATTAGTTTGTTTGGTGATTTTAATTTCAAATTGGATTATTGTCTGTAAAGCTGTCATATTCAGATGCTGATGGAAACAATTTAGGAAATTATTGCCTATTTTCTTCTATTGAGGGAATACAATGTATAATTCAGGTTGGACAAATACGATGCAATTTTTGTGTATTATTGGCTAGTTAACTCACATCAGCTGTGGGTGATTCTAATAATTGCAGAATATAGGAACCAGGCAATGGAAGTGGTGAGGAACGTGGTTGATAGTACTCTTGAGAGGGAAGGTTTGCGTGAACTCGGCAGATTCAATGGTTAGTTTATTCTCGTCTTTCTCATTCTCTCTCTATATCTCTCTGACTTAACTCGGATGCTCATAGTCCTGTTGATATCTTATTGTAGTAGGCCCAGAGGAATTATATGCAATTCAGTTAATCCAGTTCATTACAAGACATGGGCTTCTTTGACAGTGAAGAAGCACTTATTGGAATGTGCACGCACGCTGTCGTGGAGGAACTTGTAGAAGACAGTGGAGAGTAGTGTATGTATATTCTCTTTGTATGACTATATAGATCCAGATGAAATTGTTGATGTAGACACAAGAAAAGGAGATTGGTGGAGGAACTACTTCTTCAGTTCATTGTACATACTATGTTGAGTTAAATATCCCTTCAAATTGTTCATTATAATGTGACTTTATTGCCTACTTTCCTGTAGCATTTTGTTTTTGCTTTGCTAGGTGTAACACCCTCCTACTTTTTCTTTTTAATCTAAAAATACCGTCAATTACTCTTTATTTTTGGTGCAAATACTCCTCTTTCCACCCTTTGATTCAACTATTCCTTCAACTTTGTTATAATATTAATAATCGTAGCTAGAGTTCAGTAATTTTCCTTCAACAATCTATCCATAGTCCAAATCCTCAATTTTCCTATTAATCAAAAGTGATAAAAAGATTTACATCACCTCTTAATTCTTAGATTGTTATTGTTGATGTTAAATGTGTCTTGTTTTGAAACCTGGTTAATTTTGATTCTTACATTTTATAACTGTGGCTGGCTGGCAATTGCACTGTTACAGTTGTTATTTGGTTGCTATATTTTATAGGGTTACTAAGAAAATGTAGGTACTTGATAATACATTATAAGGAGCTGAACCTTCACTAATACTACTAATTAGTCTAATTAAGCATTGGAGGCACAAAATATCGAGCAAAATGTTGTCACTTAGCTTCTATAATTACAGCTATTTATGTACTCTTGTTTTGTACCTCTAATTGTTGTTGTTGTGATTGTAATAAGTTTATACCTAACCTTACTCTGCATAAAACGTCTCATCTCGCGCATTTGCCTCTCAAAACATTGTGTTCAAGTTTGTCCATAATAATTTTATTTGGACTTTGTTTGAATGTTGTTACTTTTGGAATTGCACTATAAATATGATTAGTTACGGGCAGAGTTCAGCATCAAAATAGACACTTTTTGAACTGTAAACACCAAAAGGGACCCTCTCTAAAAATATACATCAAAACGGACGATTCGCTCATTTATGGGCTAACTATAACTACCATCCTTTAACACTATCATTTCCGTTAACTCTCAATTCATCCAAAATAATATATTATGTCAAGTTGTCAACTTTAAAAGTAGTTCTCCCTACAATTCTTCTTATTTCTTTCTCAATTTTAAGTGTATTGTGAAGTCTTTTTAATACATAAAATCATGACTTTTTTCAATAATAAAAATATAAAAAAACTTGAGAATTGTTTTCATAAAATAAATTTTACTATTTATTTGCTTGCAACAATAGTAATAAACTACTGAGGTCGACGGGGACAATGATTCCTTTTATGACTAGTTTCCCTACATAAATTATAATGTTGTGCCATGCAACTTGAAGCAATGTCCATTTATTTCTACGACGCCTAGTATTGTTGACTGCAAAAGTTCTCAACTATTGAATATTTACAATTGAATTGAATGAAAAAGGTGGTCAATATATGACTCATCGCCCAATGAAAAATTGTAGTTCTAAGAGCAATATTACCCAATTGCAGTTTTAATTGAGTATTGTATTTTAATTTATTTGTATTAATTTTTCGTTAGATCTAAGAGCATCACTATATATGAAAAATAATAAAGATGTCACAATTAAAAAATATATATATTGGGATTTGTCCAGATGAACTCCATTTAAAAAAAATAAAAATTATTGCAGTTCATTGACTTGGGCACATTTTTTGTTATAATTTTTTTTGGGTTCGTGCGTAATGGGAGAACTCCAATCTTTTCTTTTAAAAAAAATGTTGTGGTTCGTTCAGTTACGGACGTACTCTAATATATTCTTTTAAAAAAAATTGAACCAACTAAAATAAGGCAGTTTTGTATAAATTTTAAAAATTACATAGTTTTAATATGAAATTACAATCTAGCCCTATTTAGTTTGTAATTATATTAATCCATGAAAAAGTAAAATAAATCGGATACATAATATGTAGCTCGGATACATTAAAAACTAGCTCGATCGGATACATTATAAAATAAACCGGATACATAATATGTAGCTTGGATACATTAAAAACTAGCTCAGATACATTAAAAACTAGCTCGAATACATTATAAAATAATTTAGAATTAGGAGAGAAATAAGAGATTTTAGAGGATTTTAGAAATAGAATGGAATATTAGAAATAAGGGAAACATAAGACGTATATTTCAATAATTTTTCTTTTTTTTTATTAGCATGTTTTATTCCCACTGAAAATAATTGCATCCATCATTTTCCTAAAATAACAAAACAAGAAAACAAGAAAACAAGTGAATATCCAAATATTTTGAAGTGAACTAACTTTTTTTTTTTTTTTTTACCTTTGGACGCACACAACTCCAAAACTTACGACCATAATTTCTTGGGGTCTTCAATGTTTTCATTTTGTAGTACTCTTTGCATTTACAAACATCTGGTTCAATTGAATATATAAATTTTTCAGATTGTTGAGACGGCTATCAAATTTTAAAAAATAAAATATAAAGTATAAAAAAGTAGAAGATGAATGAGAAAATGTGCAGGAAATAATGCATATTTATTGTTGAAGAAAGAGATAAAACTTCATATGAGGAAGAAAGATATATAGATTAACGAGAGGAATTAATAAAAAGAATTGTAGTTCGCTCATTTTAAAGTTTGTGTAATATTATTTTGCATGGATATGGAGTTAACGGGGATGACAATGTTAAAAGATGATAGTTATAGTTCGCTCATAAATGAGCGAACTGTCCATTTTGGTGTGTGTTTTAAGAGAGTGTCCCTTTGGTGTTTAAGATTCAAAAAGTGTCCATTTTAGTGCCGGACTTGCTACATGCATGTTATCCTTAGAGAATTAAGATATATATCTCAATTTTAAATTACACTAAAGATAAAATAATATTTTTTTTTCCTAATTGTCCCTATAATTGATGAAAAGAGTTACTTAATACCATGTTGTTGATGAAAGATAATAAATATTTTATAAAATTAATTAAGATACGCACAAGCTGGCCGCTGCATAAAAATAATATACATTTTTCTAAATTGCAAGCTTAAGTCAGGATTGAAAATTAAAGCCCCGGTAGTTAAAAATGAGTTTTCAATTTTTAAGCTAATCCAAGCCTCCTCTAAAATTGAGCAGCCATCAAACTTTACTATGTAATTAATAATTATAATTAGCTATATAAATAGATTTTGGTCAGGGAGGTTATAGTAAGTTTAAGAATTTACTGCTTGTTCTAAATTAATATTTAACTTGTACATTATTTTTACGCACTGTCCCGTTTATATAGTGCTAAAATGTAAAGATATTTAAATTGATATATTTAGGACAAGAAATAAGTCCTTAAAAAACAGCAATTTAGGACAAGACATGAATCCTTAAAAAAGTAAAAGCAATTTAGGACAAGAAATAAATCCTTAAAACAAAAATTTAGTACAAGAAATAAACCCTTAAAAGAACAATTTAGGACAAGAAATAAATCCTTAAAACAACAATTTAGGACAAAAAATAAATCCTTAAAATATCAATTTTGGACAAGAAGTAAATCCTATCCTAAATATGTTCATTGATTTTTGGAAAAACTTGCAATTTTGAAGTAGTTAGGGTTTTGGACATAAATTTAATCAAAACTTAAAAGGGAAAAAAAGAGTAGCTTAATAGAAATAAAATTAACGTAGGTTATAAAAATGAAAAAAAATAAAAATTAGTAGGAGACCAAGTAGAAAACTTATTACTATTATATTATTTCTATTAAAGAAAAAAAAGTCCAATTTACGTAGGTTTAAAAGGAAAAAAATAATAATAGAATTGTAAGTAGGAAGTTTATTACTCCCTTCGTCCCATTTTATGTGACACTTTTCGGATTTCGAGATTCAAACAAGTCTAACTTTGACCGTACATTTTTCATAGATCTTTTAAACATTTTGAATTATCAATTGTTGTGACTTATAGTACTTTTTATGTAGTTTACAAATATATAAATTTCATTTTTAAAAAAAATGAAGATTTCATGCGCAAATTCCCGATCAAACTTAAATTGTTTGACTTTCGAAAAATGAAAAGTACCACATAAATTGGGACAGAGGGAGTAATATTTTGTATTCCTATTAAAAAGGTTTAAAACTTTCATTAGTATTCCGCATTTTTATTCTCCATGGATATCGATTGCTCTTCAGCAGGTGAGTTCTTTAAGCTATTTTTATGTCATTCTTTTCTTGGTTTAGCTCGTAATTTATTTAATTTTTAATTTGTATATGCTTTTGAAAGAATTGTTTTTCGTTTGTCTTTTTTATTTTTAATTGACCATCCAATTCAATTTCTTTAGAAATAAAAGATCATTAGGATGATTACTTTTGTAGTTTAAAAAATAATTCCATTTGACAAAATATCTTATCATCAACATTGTATCGAACACTCAATTTTTTCTTATATATGTTAAGTTATTTCACTTCACTATAAATTAAACATGAGTTATTGACAAAAAGTAAAACAATAAAAATGGATGCTTATTCTTTTTAGGGATGGATAAGCAATGAATTATCAAAATATTATCTTAGCTACGAAAAATTTAGCTACAAAATTTATAGTTCAATCTGATTTTTTTTTCTATAGTGTTTGTTGTTAAATGAGGTACATGCTTTGGTCATGCGCAAAGCACATATACTAAACTAATACTATTAATAAGGAGGAGTGGAGAAAAAACTAGCCCCCTTGCCTCTCCTACAAGTAATGAAACAACATTTAACTACTTACTATTAATCTTTCATTTTAATTCTCGACTTCCAAATTTTCTTATCTAGGGTTAGATCCTCTATAGGTTGACACAATGTCGCTTTCTATTTATTCACCTCCTTCCGGTTCTTGTTTGGCATATATCTTTACCTCTTCTAACTTTTGTTATAGTCAACTTCTTACACCTTCCTACTAGCACATTCACACATCTACTCCTCACATTTTCGAACTATCTCAATGTTGTGTGTATTTCATCTCGTCTGTCATGGACTTCACTTCCCTCTTTTCCTATATATATCTAGCTAGTCATCCTCATCTCCGCTACATTCATCTTTTGCATGTGTCTGTTTTTTACTAGACAACACTCTGCCTCATATAATAATGTTAGTCTAATTAGCCACACCACTATGTATAACTTACCTTTAATCTATAGG